AATTATTAGTCAAACAAAGATCAAGGTAATTCGCCGCTTTAAGTAAACAGCAGCATGCGCGCAGTTGTAAATTATAGAATCTTAAGGACATGAGAAATCCATGGCCACGTGCAAACATTTCCTGTTAATGCTTATATGAGTTTTCCAAATATTTGTTAAAGTGTCGGCATGAATTTTGAAACGCACTATAAGTATTTTGAGTATATATAACCCACCCCTGTGGGTTCAAGGCACACGTTCCAGTTGTGTGTTAATGTGTGTGTGTGTGTGTGTGGGGGGGGGGGGGGCTAATGGGGGTTATATCGACTACCTCTTAACAAGTTTAAAGGTTAAAAACGAGAGAATCGTCTTCATTGCACCATGTTTTATCACATGTGGATCACTCTCTCTCCGCAGAACGGCTAGCAGTCTGCCAAGAGCGCCACTCAGAGCGCGAACTCCAATGCTCCGACCTCATAACAAGAATGTTGTAAAAGGCGATTGTTTAGATATTTGTTGAAATCAGACGTGTTGGATTGAAAAGCGCTGATACCTCAACCTAGCTGCAAACAACAATACAATGTGCCAACCACCAAACGTGCAAATGCAGAAGAAGAAATAAAAACCGGGTGGACACAGAGTCGTATTTGTTGGAAAATAAATCCTGATACTTCTGTGGGTTTAACCCGGATCACTGTCTGAACACCCAGCTCACTAACCCCTATGCTACCTCCTATTACCTGAGAACAACGAAATTTAAAAAACAGGGTGTCCCATAAGTTTCTAGACACGGAGAAAAAAAAAAAACACATTATGTTTATACAACTATTTGTGTTAGATTTAATTGCCTAGCTTTGCCCAGGACAGTGAAAGAAAGTCGTATTCTCCCATCCTTTACCGCATCTGTCTCCACCGCTGCCCTATATGTAGGCCTAGCGGAAACAGGGATCTAAAAAAACAAGTGTATTCAATATCCCGTCTTCTACTTCATCTTTGTCTCCACCTCTGCGGTATTTTTTAGTCATTACCACTAATTACACTTAAGGCTTCACCTGAAATACTAACACCCGTATTTAACAGTTTAAGAGACAGACAGATTTATTATTTCAGACACAGATACGTTGTTTCAATCAAGATAGCAGCGAAATGTATATATTTTAAAAATGATCTCTTCAAGGGAAGTAAGAGTGAAAAAGTATATTCAAAGGTATATAACCGCAGAGACAATTTACTTTGCTGATTGTCGCAATGAATGAAGAAATGCACCATAACCTGGGCCGCCAATGTGACTGTTAAATTATACATTGTACTCATAAGGCCGAATGAATTTTTAACCCGTGTACTGGTCACGGTTTCAGAGGAATTAACATTTCATTTATAATAAACACACAACGTACAGAAAGGATTTGTGATTTGTACTATAGATTTGCTTTACACAACTATCATTGGCCTTCTCATCCTTACGTCTTTTTCAGGGTGTAATTTTTTTGTTATTTGAAGCCCCACTCTGGCTTTTGCCAGGGGCCGCAATATAGGCAGGCCATAGGTATGGCCAATTGTCTGAACGCGGTTTCTGGGACCTCTCCACGGTGGTCCTCATCCACATGGTGGCACTTTGTGTCATCGGGTGTTTGTCGCTTGTGTGATGTCCTGGTGGGGTAGAAAGTCAATCAATCAACTATCATTGGTTTTAAAATTACCTTACAATATAAATTTGGGATGCAAGTTTTCGTTATTACTCTGGCTCTTGCCAAAAGCCGTAATATAGCCCGGCCATAAATCTGGTCTAATGGCTGAACACGGTTTCTGGGACCTCTCCACTGGTGATCCTCATCCACATGGTGGCACTTTGTGTCACTGGGTGTTTATTGCTTGTGTGATGTCCTAGTGGGGTACAACAAGCAAGCAAGTCTGAAAATTATTTGTAAGTCGTCCCCATAATGGCCTAACGTCTGTAAGGGGTTTCTGGGACCTCTCCAAGGGTGATCCTCATCCGCAGGGTGGCACTTTGTGTCACCGGGTGTTTATCGCTGGTGTGATGCCCCCCTGGTGGGGTACAACTTACCTTACCTTTGTAAACGTACTCATGCGCATATCATCCACTGCTGAATAACATGTTAAAGAGTGTTGATTGTAATGACGGTGGTGATATGTTTATTTGTCCTAATGTAAGGAATCTGTTGGGATAACCTGTACATCTAATTCCGTTACCACTCCTCTAAAATAAACCGTTTATTAAGTTTCCGCTAATAGAGCCAATGTCAAATCTGAGAAACAAGAACATGCCAACTTCTTGTAAGCTTTAAATTTGCTTTTATCTTTTCTGGCAAGGTACTCGATAATAAAGCCATTTCTCAACCGGCCCATCCCGTTTGAAAATAATTGTTTTTTAAGGTTGGCAATGTGAAGTTAGCTTATTATTTGTTACACTTGTTATCTGCGAACTGGTAGTGGCTGTAAATTGTATTTTACGGAATTCTGACAAGGTTGATAAATCATAAATAACAAATATGGGTTTTCAAAATGAACTGCGGACATTTATTGTGTCAGTTGTATAAACATGTCTTGAAAAAAAAACCCGTATGGTGAATATTTGCTGTGGAATAAAATCAATAATGCACGGGCTGCATTTAAAAGTTTTATGGCTGTGCGTTGTATGATATCACGTTTTGTTTCGCACGATGAGGCTGAGGTTTTTAATTATTTGGCTTTCTCCTAACATCTGTTATGTTCAGGGCGAAACGCAATTGACGTTTCAGGTTTTTATAAAGTGCTTGTTGTCCGTTTATGTTTAAATAAAGTGTTATTTCAGTATTGCTACACGCCGTGTGCTGTTGCTCCCACAGGTTAGGCAAGTGTTTAGGGCCTGGGACTTTTTCAGTCTGGTCTACTTAACTCTCAAACTATAGGGGGGTGAGTGCTAAAGGGTGGGCGGTTTTTCTCTTTTTACATCTTTGCCGTAAGGTGCTGGGATTTTTTCCCCTCTTCAGAAAATACCGTGGCTCCCAGGTCGAATCAGCCTTGAATGGGTACCAGGTAAAAGTCTTGGAAAGTAAAAGCGACCGGTGTGACACTGGACTACATCACCCATCAAGTAACGATTGGTCTATTGACATAGATATAGCCTGAAATACTCAGTACGACTAAAGCGTCAACATGGTTCCTTTACTTTTAACTGTTATTCACCACTTCATGGTGTAAAATAAATTTTAAAAAAAAGGGGGGGGGGTGGTTGTGGGAGAGGTTGTCAACTTGAGGTTTTGAGGCCGCAAGGCTAATGCAATCACCCGGAACTGTACAGGATTTTGTTGTTGTTGCCTCGACAGAAACAAATCTCCAATCCTTCACCAAGGGTCGAAAAGATCTCCCGCATGACAGCCGAGCGTTCTAGCCATCATCCGGTCAGCCGACACAGTGCTCTAAACTATTCAAAATGGAAGCCGTGATACAAAGGCTCAGGCTTGCTGTCATTAATGATTATAACATTATTGTGAAGAAAAATTACATTGGTCTGTTTTATTAAAGATTAAAATCCAGAGAACCGACCCCATTGCACTTTCAGAACACCCCCCCCCCCTCAATTATTCGCCTTTTAAGACATGTTTGAACAGTAGGTCATTTTCCTGCCAAAATATATGCACAGCAGTTCTCTCTCTCTCTCCCCCCCCCCCCCCCTCCTCCAAAGACACCCTCAATTACCAGATAGAACTTTGTCGAAAATATACTGAACCAATTGTATGCTTTTTTTTTTTTTACAGTACATGCAAACAAATGCATTCTCTCAGCCCATCGTTATCGATTTGATTCGGTCTTGTGGATTCTTTGAAATGTTTAAAATAATTTCTTTATACTTTTATATCGTTTACCTATCCATATTTTTGTTTACTCTTTGTGTGTTCTAAAAATAAATCTTGTGGGTTTCAGTGTCCCATTGTTACGAAAACAAGAATATACCCAATGCTTCTTCAACAAGCATGTTGTAAGAGGCGACTAATTGGGGGTTTTCTTTGGAGTCTGAGTGCATCTGCCCGAGAGACAAGGAACTAACAATTTGCATACATGTAAGCGAGGTCGGTAAAACGGATACACACGCAAAACTCAGGTCATCGAACAAAGCCAAAGTCCAGAATTGGAAGAACAAGCAGGTCTTTCCACCGGGGTTCACAGCCGGCGAACATATAAGTAAAAAAGATTAACTGTGTATTTGCTGACTCGAACTTGACTTTTTTATTTTAAACATTGACTTTGGTTTTAAGAGCGAACCTAGAAACAAAAGAAGAAGAAGAAGAAGAAGAAGAAGAAGAAGAAGAAGAAGAAGAAGAAGAAGAAGAAGAAGAAGAAGAAGAAGAAGAAGAAGAAGAAGAAGAAGAAGAAGAAGAAGAAGAAGAAGAAGAAGAAGAAGAAGAAGAAGACTGTATACATATTTCTCCTTGTGGTGAAAACAAGAGTAGACTTACTGCCTCCCCCAAAAGCGCGCTTCCTTCCAAGTTAAAGTGCTTCTGCCTGAGAGGCAAGGAACTAACAGTTTGCAAACAGATATGTCAGATAAGTTGAACGATGTGAACACAGGCTCTGGACAACTCTAAAGGCTGGAGGTGAATGAAAAACTGGAATATTGCACGAAAGTTTACTGCCTGTGAATGCAAAGAAAGATCAGTAAATATATTTCAACCCAGTGTCCAGAGCGATGTGTGTCTATTAATAGTATGAATGTATCTTCAATTACCAACAATTTACTTAATGTTATTCTGCCCCCCCCCCCCCCACTCCCCACTTCCAATACTCAGTACTCAAAATCACAGTGATCCATTGTTATCATTATTTAATTTTTCTTTCTCAGGTATCAAACAGCTCCTTAACCCTGGATATGATCCAGAATAGGAAGGATTTCATCAGCATCTAACGTGTTTTCTCTGCCTGCTACAAGTAAAACCAATTACAGACGTAACATTTATAGTACTGTTGCGGGTGGCCCCTGAGGTTATTGATGTACTGGCCATACTAACACAAGAACTCATATAATGAAATCAAGTCGACGCAAACAGACAACCCCAAACCGTGTAGCAGCAGGATCTGGTGTGTCTGATCTTTTGGGTGTCATAACAATGAACACCTCAGATAATGGTACAGAAGGTGTACAGATAAGCAATGGCAGTGTTAGTATCGGTCAGCTGACCAGTAGTGATAGCTCTGACAGTGAACAGCCTCTGAACATGCATGTGTCCACCCATGCTTGGCCACACTGCTCGAAAGCATTTTCTAACAAGGAGGAGTTGCAGGATCACCAAATAGACATACACAGAGTGGGAGGGAAGAAGCTGCGGATGGAAGATCCTGTTGATAACTTTCCAACTGTGTACCATAGACTTGGCCATGAGCTTCAGGAAAGTACTGATTTGCCTGTTACAAATGGTCATTTGGAGAATGAGCTTTCACCTGTAGCTGCAGCTGCTGATTCAACATCATCCCCTTCAGGCACACCTCAAACATCCTATCTGTCAGCTGCAGAAAAACCTACTGAGGAGTTGTCATATTCAGAGACTCTTCAACCGCCTCCATCAACTCCATCAAAGATGAGCAAAGAAGCTAATGGTGAGATGGTGAATGGCAAATCTGACAGAATTTTCCACATGGATGCCTATTGTGAATTATGTGATAGGGAGTTCTGCAATAAATACTTTCTAAAGACACATAAAGCCAACAAGCATGGTATTTATGAGGATAATTCTCCTCCTGCCAACAATGTCCCTCTTCCATTTCCCGGATTAATGATTCCACAAGATCCATTAGTTTCATTAAATTTTAGTATGGATTCTTTGAAGCCTCCATCATCTGAACCACTTATGCACTGGCCATTTAAACTAGAACCTCCTCAGCATGCCAAGAAACCAGAGAGTCCTTCAAGTGTGAAATCCACAGATAATAGTATACCTCTTTTCCCTATGTCCTTACCTGGTTTAGAAAGTCCAAAGGCCTTAACAAATAAAAGCAGTAGCAACAACTACAACATGGGGAATATTGCCAATTCAACTTCTTCAAGTATTTCATCAAATTATCCTACCTCTACCTCCATACTAACAACCATCACCAACAGCATTAAGAAGGAAGCATCTTCTAGCACCACTCCTCAGACTAATGATCCAAGCATGGAAGACTACTGCCACATTTGCCAGAAACATTTCTGCAATAAATATTACCTTAAGAAGCATAAGCAGGATGTACATGGTATCATCCCTGAAAATCCGCCCAGCACCTCTAACAAAAGATCCCGATCAAGTCTGCTTGACTTACCCCCTAATCATATGATGCTTCCCCAGCCATTTGCTAGTCTCGCAGGAATGCATGGACTCCCTGGCATGCCAGGACTCCCTAACATGTCCAGTATACCTCACGGAATGATGGTCATTAACCCCTATAGCTTGCCTCCTGTGGCTATAATTCCTGCTGGATCTCTTATGCCTGGTCAGCAGCTTCCTCCCCATTCTCACCCTATCATCTCTCAACCCATGAGCATAACATCACTGCCTGATTCAGCTCTCCTCCCCTCTGCACCACCAACATCCTCATCAGCATCTACTGCAAACTCAGCTGACTACTCTCCAAACAGACCAAGCCCAAATGCCCAAGAAGGTGGAGTCCACTGCAGTATATGCTCCAAAGAATTCTGTAACGAATTTTATCTCCAGATTCATAAAGAAAGCAAGCATGGAATGAGAAAGGAACATGGAGATGGGCAATGGAGCAATAGTGTCGCATTACTGAAGGAAAGCAGGCAGGAAAGCCCAACAACCACATGCAGCATAACAAAACATGAGCCATCTACAGGGCAGAAAAGATCTCCTGTTGATTCTGCTTCATCTGGTGAAGGTAGTCCCATATTCTGTAACTTGTGCAGTAAAGAATTCACAAATAAGTACATATTTAGGATACATCGCATTCACGACCATGGCTTAAATGAATTAATGGACCCGATGCTGATGGGAAATAATGGCATGCTACACAAGGAGGATGTAATGAGAAGTATGAACGAAACTCTGATGTTGATGACTGCAGGAGCTTCTCCTCTTAACCACATCTCTAATTTTGGTTTGCCACATTTAAATAAACCACAGGAGAGCGCAGTATGTGATATATGCAACAAACAAATGGCAAACCTTTACTTCCTTCGTCTTCACAAATTTCATGTCCACGGTATTGACCCAAATGCCAATGACAAATGTGAGACAAAACCCCCAAATTCCCCGGTCCTGTCTATGTCTAAATCCATCACTCCCACGTCTTCAGGCAGCTTGTCTGTCAATTCAGCCAGCCAGCCTTTAAATCTGGCTCACCATCATAGAAAGTCGCCTATGCTTCCATTTCTCCCACCCAAAATGGACTTCAAAGACATGCCTCCATTTGCGGATTTCGGCCGAGATTTTAAAAGCTATAGAGATGTGCCTTCGTTCTTAACAGAAACTTTTAACCATGAACTCTTTGCCAGGTCTCAAAGCCAATCTAGACATTTAGATCTAAACTTTTTTGGCCTACCTCCTCTGGGAAAACTGCCCAGTGACGACAGCCTTAAAATGAACTTTGACCCAGAGGCTTATTGTGAGATATGCAAAAAAGGAATTCTGTAGCAAATATTTTCTCAGGACGCATAAACAAAACATTCATGGTATTAAAAGTGATGCAATTTCATCTTCCACGGCTAATATTAATGGTATTAAAAGTGATGCAATTTCCTCTTCCATGGCTAGGGGATCAGGCAGTGATATAATATATTCTATGTCTCCACTAAAACCAACTATCAGTACTAGCAGCAGCAGCAGTACCAGCCTCGGTGCTGGCAAGTCACATGAAATGCTGGACAAGAGTTCGTGGAGGTGGAAACAGCCCATCAATTCTTCCCGCGTCATTTGTGACATTTGCAATAAAGAAGTATGCAACAGGTATTTCCTCAGGACTCATAAACAGAAAAAGCATGGAATAGCCCCATCGTCCCATTCACCAAATGTTAGCACTAGTGGGTCGCCTGTAGCTTCAGACTGCGACACTGCGTCCAATGCATCTAGTCAACCTGATGAGAAACTGTTTAGGATGGATACATTCGCTCCTCAGATAATGTCTCTACCTTCGTCAGAAAGACAACTCGAGAAGTTCAGGACGCAGTCACCGAACTTTGGAGAAGAAAAAGAAGACATTGCTTTCAATAACAACGTAGAACAATGCGAAACCTGCAACATCTGTAACAGAAGATTCAAAAACTTAAACTGGCTAAAAGACCATATTGTCAAAGAACACTCCAACAATGAAGCTTTGGATATGAGATCGAAAAGTTCTCATCGTCTCTATACATGCCAAGTCTGCGGAACTGATTTTAAAACTGAACTCTCAGTTCAACTTCACCTAATCCAGGAACACAATGCCCGCGTCACACTCGAAACCGATGAACCACAGGTCCCTACGGAAGAAGCCAGCTTACCCAATGGAGATGGGAACAGCAGTAAAGTAGCTGAACTGAGTGGCAGATGGACTTTAAAGAAGAAACTCTCCACCCATCGCCGGCTGAAGAAATATGTCTGCACCCGTTGTGGATTCGACAGCCATTGGTTGTCATCCTTACTCGACCACGAAATGAATGAACATGGAATCATTTCTGGCACAGACCCAGTGTTCTCATGCAAGAGCTGCCACAGCTCACTGCCCTCGTCAAGCGCACTTTCAGCCCACTTGGTGATTGTTCATGGATTCACTAGCGAGGATGCTCTCCACGAAGTGAACCGCACAGAACCTGCTGTCCCAAACAATTTCAAATGTGCACATTGCTCCGCAGTCTTTCCTACCCGCTCTTGGGGTATGGCACACGTTCGCCATGTCCACATTCGCAGTCGACGAGATTTAGCAGTAAAGAATTCGTTTGAGAAGAGCTTACTGCGATGTCCTTCCTGTCCATTTAAAACACACTTTTCCTTCCGGCTGCAGAGGCATGTTAAATATCGTCATAGAAATAACCTACGGTTCCCACATTCAGTCTACCCATCGCTTTCGTCTTGCATCAGCACCCAAGGATCTTTTCCAAAACTAGCCAGTGTTCCAAGTACTACGACGGCTTCTAGAGAAGACAGCGTACTGGGCACTGCCATATATAAAAGTATAGCTGCTTCGATTCTGTCAGTGCCTGAAACTGGCAGAGCAGATGCTTCTGCAGCTGATAGAGACAAATTACTTTTACACAACTTTAAGCTGCCTCTGGGTCCTGGCTCGGCTGAACCTGCACCTTTCAAGTTCACCAACCAGACATCTGTGTCTTCAGCAATGGTTGGTTTGTAAATGGCCATTTTGTTTAGTTTTTGTGTTATGGTGCGTGCATTCCCTGAATCCGATATCATGTCTATAGCATTGCAATTCACACCACAGCATCGTCAATTTGCGTTTGCCTTGATTTTATTGTCTTATGCCTATTTATTTTGTATTTATTCCAAATATGTCAAAATCTATACTCGTTATAACTAATGCACTAACAACAAATTTCCAGATGGAAATAATTTGTTAGTTGTAAAACAAAACAAAACAGATAAAAGCATTGACAGAAGAAATACATGTAGAGGAGATTAGGGCTATTGCGGTTTTCCTGTGAATATGATTACCACTACCGGATTGTATCTTGTTTGTTTTGTAGTATTTATATTTTTAATGTGTTGATAAAGACTTTTGTCGGAACGCTTGATTGTATGTATATATTTCTTGTTTGCCCAGTTTTCAGATTGCTTGTTCTGTCAGTCTTTGACAGATGAAGACTAGAAAGACGTTTTTGAACATAGCCTGTAGCTTTTTGCCGTCATGGCGCATTCAAGGACTGCAGTGACTAGCTTTATTACATGTCTTTTCCGCATGCATTCCCTACTTTCTTGGACAGTGTGGGACCCTTCCCCTCTTTGCTCTACCCCCATCCCTCTTTTTTTCCCCTACCCTTCCCCCTTTCCCCCGTCTTGCCGATCCTGGGGGATGTAGAGAAGCGTGGCTATTGTGACTGCAAGAACTAGCAGGTTGGCCTTGTTTTTTTCAATAAAACGAAAATTATTGCCATCACCTTACAAAGGATTTAAACCTGGGTCTTCTGACTGAGAGGCCAGCTTTTCCTCTGTGTATAATACTCATGACACAATCGACCCAGTGCCGCCGCTCACTATGCAACCAAAACAGCTCATGCTTTCTATGGCATATTAGTTAACAGGCTTAAAATGTTACATTACAGTCTATAGCTTATGTGTTTGGCATATTATGTATAAATGTATTACGGCCACACACACATGTATATGTGTATATATATATATATATATATATATATATATATATATATATATATATATATATATATATATATACGTGTATATAAACCATGAGCCAAAACACTGGGACCCACCGTAGTCTGGCGGCTAGAAACTCGCCTGCGGATCGGAAGATCGTGGGTTCGCGTCCTGGCAGGGTCCGGACATTTTTTTAAACACGACCTTGGCTCCCAGGTCGATCCAGCCTTGAGTGGGTACCAGGTACAGTCCTGTGAAGTAAAGGCGGCAGGCGCGATGCAAACCACACCACTCTTCAAGTGCCGTTTGATCTATGAAATATAGGTCTAGCCCTGTATATCCAATACACATGAAGGCGTGGAAAAGGGTCTTGTGCCTTCCTACCAGCAGACACATAAATAAACCTAATACATTCATTCATACATAAGAGAAGAGGCCAAATGTGGCCATACACTGCAGTGAAACTTTCGAATTATTGACGGATCTGTCCCTTGACGTATGAAAATGTTGAAAAGGGATGAAGAAGAAGAAGTCTACTATAGAAAGTATCAGCTGTTTTAATTGTTTAGTTAGTATGAGACAACTATTGTAGATATTATTCATTTAATGTGAAAGATAGATTTTATATTGTTTTCAATCATGTAGTAGCTGTATTCATTTATATATATATTGCAATCATCATGTATGCATGGCAGAAGGAATTTTGAACAGTAGAGACAAGCAGTACAAGAATATATAGCTAAAAATATATATCAAAAGAAGAGATCATCTTATCATGTTTGCAGGATAGTTAAGGAGTTTTAAACTGTAGATCATCTATTGCACACTGGACAGTCCTAGGTGCTCAGACAGCTAAAAAGTAATATCAAAAGAAGAGGTATGAGAACAGATTTGTTTACCAACAGAGAACAAATGAACAGAGTTTGTTTAAAGTGGTTAAGAATTTAGCGTGCTGGCTCATCCTACATTCTGCTCTACTGGCCCCACTCATTGCATTCATTAACTCATACATCAGTGAGCATTACAATAATATACAGTCGCAAATGCTGGAATATAAAGTAATTATACCTACACTTCCAGATAGTAATAATACTAAGCATAGTAAATGTATTAAATATAGGGCAAAACACAGCTTGTTTGAAATTTATCATTTAAGGGGACAAATAACCTGTGCTGAAAAAAATATTCAAGTAGTTTCCATTTGTATGTTTAGGGGTTACTGGTATTTTAATTGGCAGTGGAAGCTAGCTCCACAGATGAGATACGAAAGTACCAGAGAGATAAGAGAGAGAGAGAGAGAGAGAGAGAGAGAGAGAGAGAGAGAGAGAGAGAGAGAGAGAAAGAGAGAGAGACTTGCCATTAAATATATTGTGGAGGATCAGCTGGCCGAGTGGTTAAGAACGTTGAGCTGTCACGCGGGTTCGAATTATCTATAGGGTCACAGATCTTTTCTGTAGGTGGCAAGAATTAAATACCCGCACAGTCCGTGACGACTTCACCAGCCTTGCGACCCTAAATCATTATGCTCAGGACCTCCCAATCATATATACAACCCTAAAAGTTAAAAGCATATATATATGCCCTTTTTCTAAATAAAAAGGTGCCGGTACTCACCAGAAAGTATTTATTATTGTAGTGCGGAAAATAGGAGGTATAAAAAGGGGGTGCCAGAGCTGTGTACCACCAGAAAAAGCCCCGTATACACACACACACAGACACACACGCACATATGATTAATTCATCATTATCACGTTCTGAAGTATTATGAAATAAGATCACATATTTATTATTGTTTACCAGAGCCAACATTGTACTCTAGGCTAACTCAAACTTGGCCTGCCTTCCTTGGCATTATGTCAGATGTATTCGCTGTTAACTATCCAAAAACACAAAACAGGAGTAACTTTAACCAGCAATGCATGATATCCATCTTTTTCTCATCTGCTTTCGCCCTTCAAAGAAGGGTTGGCTCCGCTATGCTTTAGTTTAATAGCTGCGATGTCTGCGCCTTTTGACCCAACACATCCAATCTAGCAAACCCCTAATTAGTCGGCTTTTAGGACATGCTTGTTAGGAACAGATAGTCTATTTTTTTTGTTTCTCTCTCTCTCTAAAATGGGCGTGACCTATTGTTCATTTTAAAGATAATCGTTATCGCATACCGCACATAATCACAAGTTCTCCGATCTCCTCTTGAGTATTTCTCCAAGTTTTTTGTAGAATCCTCGCATGGTTTTCCTGTCTCCCACCTTCAATTGGTACACCCAGGGTATGCAGTCTATTCAGTGAAAAATTATCTTATGCGAAACTAAAAGCCTCACAGCGTTTAGTCTCTCGTATGGCATTGATAATGTCTCTTCTGTCCATAGAGGGCCCATTCCTGATAGTCACACTGCCAGCAAGAATAAAAAAAATGGAGAGAAACGTCAATTGTTTGGCTAGAAGAACAAATGGAGAGAACGTCATCATTTGTTTGGCTAGAAAGAAAAAATGGGGAGAAACATCATCATTTGTTTGGCTAGAAAAAAAAAATGGGGAGAAACGTCATCATTTCTTTGGCTAGTTATCCCTGTGGGGTCCAGGGCCCTATTATAGGGAAAACAAGAATAGACACACTGCTACTGCCTACCCAAAGTCGTACGCTGCCCGAGCTTCCTTTGAAGTCAGAGTGCATCTGCCCGAGAGGCAAATATCTAGAACTCATACGAGTGAGTCAGATCTGTAAAATGGAAGCACACACAACAATCAGGTTCTGGAACAGGACTCCAGTCTAGAAGTGGATGAACAACCAGAACTTTCCGCCAGAGTTTACAGCTGGTGAACGCAACAAAAAAAAAGAAGGTATGCTTGGCTAGTAAATGTGGAAGAAAAGCATGAAGCGTCATTATTTTGTAGTTATTTTTTCTGTCAAGTTATCTTATTCTTTGAACACCATAAGACGTACAACCAAACCAAATAAATACACCTCGCAATCTGTATGGTTTTAGTAATTTAAAAATTTCCTAAATGAAATATTTCCTAAATAATAGATCCACACGTTTCATTTATAAAATCTGTTATTATTTTATTGACACTGTTGTCTCTTTAAAGTTCAGTCTTTGTTAACATTTTATTTATATTCATAATTCATTTGGTTCTTTAAAAACACCTGCGATTTATTGTTTGATTTGTGACTTGCGTCGTGTGTTCCTTAGAACGCCTCTGACCTCAGGTATATTTTGTGATGCACACACCTTGTGGTTTTCTTACGCTGCCCGAGCTTGTTATTGAGTGCAAATGATAATAAATAATTATTTCAATATTTATATGCGTTGAATACATTTCCCTTCACTTTTCAATATATTAATATCACATGTGTTTTGTGTATGTGTTTGTTAAGCTATTGGCTTTCTTTATAATAATTTAATACAACAAAAGAATAGTTTCCAGCATTAAAAATGAGCGTATGGTGGCTGGCAAACTCATATAATTATAGATCTAGACAAGTTATGGCAACTCCATGTATTTATAGAACGTGGCATATGATGGTAGCATAATATATTTATAGGACTTATATATGATGGCAAATCCGTTTATTTATAGAACTGGGTATATGATCACAACCTCATGTATTAATAGAACTGGGCATGTGATGGTAACCCCACATATGTAATATCATTTGAGCGTGGAGGGGGGAGACAGGGGTGTCCAAGTTTTCATTTTCTGGGATTGTTGTCTGCAGGATTATTATCTCAAGAGTGGGATTAAAATACGTACCTATCCGGAAACGACGTTCAATATTATAGCCATATTAGGACATTTATACTGGGGCTCCAAAAAACCTCTAGTCCCCACTTGGTGTGTCTAGATTCTGGACGTGAGTGAGTGGGTGAAACTGAATCCCACCAGGACCTCATATTGAGTTACTGAGACCCCATGATGCCAAGTGCAAAATCGTCATTAAAAATGTATTTGAAAAAAAAAAGGTAAAGTCTCTTTTCCACGTCGTAAGGCATAGAGGGCTAGACTTATATTTTTAAAGAC